AATGTCAAGATCTTGAAGTTTGAATGATGAAAGCGGGCACCTTGAGTTGTGAAAGAAACTGTCATAGTTTAAAAGTGTCCTGTGTCAGTTGGGGGAAGGTGATGGAGATTTACTATAGTATACAGCCGGTATTTGCTGAGCCAAGAGCTATGTGCTTCTGTGGTGATGGATGTCTTTATGTTACCAAACAAGTGTTTGGGTTTCATTTTTAAACAGATTGTTACCTGAAATCAGACCTGCTGAGCTCTGCAGTTTCTCCTTCTGCAGCTGATTTATTAGTAGCCAGGTATGTTGGGACTGAATAGAGTTGCAAATGGGTATTTCAGGGATGGGAAGCATTACTACAAAGAAATGTGCTCTGAAGATACTAGGACTTCAGTTTCTCCTGAAACAGTCATACTGTTATACTGGACTTCATAGCTTTGTGAGTCCTTCTTTGCAAAGTAGGATTTCAGTGACTAAATCAAGTAAATCCTAGGGCTTTTATAATGGAAGAGCAGCCTTTTCAATCTGACTTTAAAAGTTTAAAGGTGGTGGTGGTACAAGGAGCTATTATAAAAAAATGAAGCTTAATTCTACTTGCTTATTTTCTTCCTCAGATGCTTGTCCAAATCATTAGTTCCTTCTGCTTCGTCATCTTTAGAATCAACAGTTCCATCTCCATCTGAACCAGAAGTGGGAAATGACAAAAAGACCAATGAGCAGCCAGAACCAGTGAGCATGCGTGAAGCTCCACAGGTGTTGAGAAGGGCCCCTGGGAAAATACCCAAATGGCTGAAGCTGCCAGGTATCATGAAATCAAAAGAGAGCTGTTCTTATTCTGAACTCCTCAGAAAGGCAGGCTCCTCTGTGCCAAACATGTTGGATGTTGACAAAGAATATTGAATATGTCAGCATAATGATATGAATATTCTTGAAGATGTCAGCATAAGGCCTGCAGGACATTTGGTTCAATGCTTGTCAATCACAAATCAGTTTGTGACTAAAACCTCAGCCTTCACTGAAGAAGTATCTGAATGCAGGCTCTGGTCATTGTTGAGTCTGTGTAATCTATATGTTTGTAGCATTCTTAACTATGTTCTGGGCTTAATGTGTTGAATTCTTAAATGTGCTAGTGTAGTTCAAATACTAATAGGCGTGATATTCTATATACCAAGGGCCCATGTCATCTGGTAAATCTGTGTCATTATTTTTCCTTTGCTGGTATAGTCTGTTTTAGTACTTTCCTTTCTCTTGATTTTTTTTTTTTTGTTGGTCTTTCTGTTCTTAATCTTCACTGCAAAACAGTAGTGGTTTTCCGTAGCTAAGATTGCAACCAAGTTTCCATTATGAATCTTTTTCTTGGTTTATCCTGATCAGAAAACTGCAACCTTGTTTTTAGTCCCAGAACTAATAGCTTATGTATGGTTTTATGTGAGAATTTATACAAAATATGAAGTAACTAGAAGAAGGATTCCTGAATTAAATAATTGGCAATATTCACTTTTTGATGCAGTGGCAAAGACAAGAGGAGGCGAGGAGGGGGATAAAAAAAAAAAAAAAACAAAAAAAACATTAAATCAACCCTCTTAATGGCAATAAAACTGGGAAGAATTATATGGAATTCCCTGGCTAGTAATGCTAAATGTTAACTTCCTGAATGAGAGTTTTAGTATTTGATTCTGGAAGATACTGTGGGGCCATCAGCTCCAGCAAGCATAGCATAAGGTGCAAAATGATTGCTGGAAGGCTGCATACAGTGGGTTGGTGTGTTCCCCTGCTGTGGCTGGTCTGTTTTAGACTGGTACTGGGATACTGATGCAGATCATGTGGGAAACAGTATCTTTACTGTGGCCTGTTTCCAGTATGCTTGAAGCATTCCACTTAAGAGTGGAACTTACTTTCCCAAGTAAAGATTATCTGGATAAAGTACAAAATAACATCTCACCTACCTGTGCAGGTTACCCATTAACAGCTGGTATGAAGGGTTAATAACATGCTCTAACATGCATGTTAATAACATGTAGGATGAAGTTCCCCACTCCAAAAGTTATGATGTATTCACCATTCCATCTCCCTCAGAAGTGCTCCTACGTGCTACCCAGCTGTTGCCTGAGCACAGCAGTGTATAGAACCCTAAGTAACCAGATTGTGTTATTGAGAAACAATACAGTGAAAATTACATGGTCAAGTGTTGTAATGCTCTTATGTTTATTTTGTAGGTGGGAAGAGATGAAACATTCTGGGCTGCTGGATCAGTGAGCAGTCAGTTGTGCCCCTTTCCTGATGAACTTATTCAGAATGTGTAAGAAATTATTGGTGGCCGTGGAGAGATCTAATCTGTATGAACATTAGTTATAAATAGAAAATGGCTATTTCAGATGCCAGTTTCACCTTTTGGAGGAGTGAAAGCCCTGTTTGTGGTCTTTGCGACTACAGAAGCAAGGTTAGAGGTTAAACATAAGGTTTCTTGCATGCAAATAATATGAATAGTAAGGGGGAAATAATACCTATATACTTTCTGCGAAGGACTTTTTTTCTATCCGTATTTTTAAATTCAAATCTTTCCAGTTCTACCTTCAGAGATAACTTGAGTCTAGCTGCCTGAATTCTAGCAGCACGATACAATCCAATTCAGTTTTACCTATAGTTAAATGCTGCCTCAAACAAGACTTCACTCTGCTTCTTGCTGGCTGAGGTTAGTGCTGCTGATAATTCTGGGCATAGATGGCTGGAAAATGAGTGAAGAGGAAGCACTTAGGTCACTTAAAACTGTTCAAATAGGCTTTTCCTGTGAACCTCTTGGTCTGCTGCACTTGTATTGTTTTCAGTTGCCAGAATCTTGTTAACAAAGAACACAGGTATCTGTTAATGGAATGCATGTGGAGTTTGTTTCTGCCCCAAGCTCTGTTTTATTTTCACTACGTATAATTAACATCAGTAATTACAGTTACAGTGAGGAAAAAAAAAAATCCAGTAACGGGGTCTCTTCACGTGACCTTCGATCTGTGGACTGCTATGGTCCGAATGTTTCCACAGCAGAGTAGCCGTTCTCTGCAGTGCAGTTAGTGCACAGAGGGAAGCACTAGTCCAGATCTTTGCCTCCTGCAGAAGTTGTACGGGAATGAATGTTGTTGGTTAGAATTGTGCTTGTACTGGAGATGAACTCTATAGTGCCACAGTAGCCATGGTGCTGTATTCTATTTGAAGTCTTCTCCATGGATCAGTGATTCATATTGGACAGCTGGGGTTCCGTGTTACGGTAATAACATGTTTTCCATTTTCCCTGTATAGACAATTGTTCCCTGAACTACGTGTGCATCTGCACAATTAGTAGATGTAATAAAGCAGAGTGGCCATAGGAGGCCTTTTTGTCGGTCTCTTTGATAATATGTTTCTTCCCCCAGTACTCAGTTTCTCTGTCAGTTCACAGGAACCTGCTCCCTTTTCAATGGGCCTGTCATGCCTCATTCCCTTCCTCCCATTTTTTTTCAACAAAGCAAAACGGAGCTTTGTACCATCTGAATGAACTTCAAAGTGGCTAGAAAGGGCACCCAGGGTTCCTGGCACTTGTCATTGTCTCCCAGCCTGGCCAACATTTCCCTTCAGGTCTAATTACTTCCAAATGCTCCCAGATGCTTTGAAGAAACTGAGAGGGAGGGGGAGGCATGAAAGAAAGGTGGAAGAGGAAGAAGGAGACTCAAAAGTGGAGGGAGCAGAATGCTTTAGCAAAAATGTTGATTGATTTCTTACATGACACCCAAACATAAACAGGGAATGTGTGCGGCCGCTGGCAGTGGGGAATGCAAGGGCACTATGTACAGCTGCTGCTCTAAATCCTTACTGTGGAAAGTAAGCCCTTCTGGTGCTTGACAGGCTATAAAAGACATACTACAGCAAAATGAAAAATACTAAAATAAAGTCTATTACTTTAGTGGATTAAGTGTGGACTGAGCCTACACTCCATAGAACTGTCTGTATCTTGGTTCAGGTGCTATGTCAGGCTTATTCATTTCACAGAAGTCAGAGGTAGACTGTAGCTAGAGGTGCTTTGCTGAATTTATGCAGGATATGTTGGGGGCAACTAATAACCATAGCTAATGATAGGTGATGATATACCTGTGCTGGTGTTTTTGATTCACAGGGTTAGAATAAACAGAAGCAGTCTGGTTGGTAGGAAGTTGTAGTGTGCTTTCAGATGTGCTAGTCGTCTTTTTTGAAGAGCACAGGCAACATCAAATGGTACTGATTTGCTTAGCTATTTTGATTCCACCAGTTTTGACAAAGAACTGGCACCATAACTATCACCTGCAAGTACCTGATGATATAGGAAAACAGAATGAAAAGTTTAGGGACACAAGCTGCAACATCATTATTACTGGGGCAGTTTCTTGGGTTAAGTACAGGGGTGAGGAGTAGGAGACTTCATATTGCTGTGTTCATTACCTCAGTCAGTTCTGCCCATGCTTGTCCCTTGTGTAATTCAGCTATGCATCAAACCCAATTTAATCTACTTCTCTTTCAGGAGAATGAAAAATTGGTACTTCCAACAGCTAGACCAGAGGTCTTATTCCCCTTTCCCTATGCAAAGAAGAGTTAGTTTTAGCAGCTGCTGCTATTAAAATACTGCTTTACTACTAACATTTACATTGGTGATCCTCTTCAGTCAAGAATGCTTGTGTATGGACCAGGTATGTCAGGGAAGTGAACTCAAGTCTCTTTAGGACAGCAGCTTTGAGACATTTGTGTGTCAGTAGGAGTCACAATGGGGGGAGAGATGAGGATTTGAAATCTAGAAAAGGCAAGAAGGTAGGAGTGAATTCTTTAAGAGGGACAAGATGCCCCAATATTTAAAACTGCAGGCTCTTCACTAAAGGTGTTGCTGCAAGGATTCCTACCCTGCCACGGAACAATACATGCAGATACCTGATGAGCTGGATTTGTTTCAATATCACTTCTGCTATAGTAGCTGAACTCATCCCTGGGGTTTTGGGGCATTCAGAGGTAGTATTACTTACATATTTTTTTTTGCTATTGCCTTTTTTTACCATATGGTTGCAGGGCTGAAGGCTGAACTAGGTCAGTTCCTTCATTGGTTTCGTTGTACAGCTGCACAAACAGTTGTCTTGGCAAAGAGGCTGCAATGCAGAGGGACGGGGCACTGCTTAAGCTGGTACTGTCATCAGAAAGAATGTGTATTAAATTGTGGTTTTAGCTGAAGTTTCCAAGTGGCTGGCATCCCGAGTGATGACCTTGATAGCTCTTGGCTGAAAGCGTGCAGTAACCTACTGAGCTTCTGCCTGCTACAGCTGTCAATGGGGAAAAAAATCGCTCGCTGTTACTAACCATAAAGACTACAGATAGCCAACAACAGAGGGTGTGCAATCCTTAAGACACGCTGGTGTCAGCTGCTTTTCATGCAGCCGGCTATGTTTCCCCAACAAAGCCAGTTCAGTTGTGTGGGTCCTGCCTACATGTGTAAGGTTTCTTATTTCACAGCTTTCCCCCCTCCCCGGCCCCCCTGCTGGCTGAGGGGCCAGGCTGTCCCATGATGTGGGATTTTCACACATGCTGTTTGTTATTCTGTCCTTTTTCCTTTCGTCCTACAAAGATTTAGCAAAGAGGGCGGGTGAGGGGGAAACTCCGCAAGTCTTTGAAGCAACTTGACTTTCGATGATTAATTGCAGCAAAGAGCCTACACGAGGGAGACTCTGTTTTAATTTATTGATGTTTCTTTGTGAGAACAAATTTATAGCAGAGGGGAAGCAGCTTCTGAGGAGAATATCAAATGGTTAAAAGGTTCCAAGCATTCTTTGATGTCACAGCCCTGGAGAAATACTGGAAGGTAGTGAGGGACAGACACTGTTTATTTATAAAATAAAGATCAGTTACCTGCTTTTGGCAAGAGCCTGTGACTGAGCTCCTGTTAACAACCTATTCATTAGACAGGCTTGGAGCTGGACCTAAAGTTTCTGCCACAGCTGCCCGCTGAGGCGATGAGAGACTGAAGTTTGGATGACATTTCCAGCCATTAAGTCTTTCCATGCATCTCTGAAGCGGCACCTGTTTCTCACATTAGCTGGGAAAGCAACAGCATCTTACTGTGCTGTGAAGTACAGGCTACTGTTAAAGGAGTAAGGCAGCAAGATGGAAACTAGCTACACACTTAGCCGACCAAAACAAACGTGTGGCAGCCTCTTTTCAAAAATAGCCTCTGACAGCATAGTTGCCTAGGGCTTAGTCATGCTTGGTAAAGCAGACAGGAAACAGAAGCAAAATGGCAGAGAAAGAAAAAGTTGAGACTGTTCTTCCTAGAGCTAGACTCTGAGGGCGAGTCTGATGTTCAGTCAGGTCAGGGTCTTCTGCTGGCGGGCCACGTGTGCTTCATGAGGCCTCTAGAAATCGAGAAGCTGTAAGGAGAGAGCAGCAAGCCGGTCAGCAGAGCTGCTGGGGCCCTGAGCCATCTCCCCAAAGGACAAGGACTGCGCTGCTCCAGCCCCGCCCCCATCCTTATCCTGTTCAAGTGCAGTTACGCACCAGCTGCGGCAGCACCTTCTCCACCTGCTCAAGATCCACCTTCTCCAGGTCCTCCGCCTGAGCCTGCCGCGCCGCCCGTGCCGCCGCTTCTGCAGCGCAAGCGTAAGGCAAGAGTCGTTAGAGCGGGCTCGGGGGCTGGTTTTCCGGGAGGCGGCCCCGCTCCCCGGAGGAGGCCGGCCGCGTCAAGGCGCGGGGAGCGGGATCAGGGGCCGCGGCGCGGC